GGCATAAAATCCTCCTTCAATGAAAAAAAACTGTTGGTAAATTCTTCCTCTGAGAACTTCACTTGGTAGACATCTCCATTAATTTTAATTTGCCTAGTGACTGTGATTGTCTCCATGATTGGAGTAGAGATAAGAAACCTTGCAATGTCGAACCTTTTCTTTTTGCTTGTGCTATCATCCAAGCAAATGAACTTTCCCCATGAACAGCTCATGGTTGAAAAGAAATCAGTTTCCCAGGCATTCAAAGGGACCCCTTGACACCTTATCCATACGAATCTCTCGGTTGCAGTCATTTTTGGTGTCCATGGTTGCACCTCCACAAACCATTGCCTCAGCCAATCTGATGCCATTTCAACCAAGTCCTTCACTTCCTCTTTATCTTCACCTGATAGCAGGACCATTTTGCCTCCCATAGCTCGAATTTGACAAGAAAAGTATCCTTCCATGTAGAATTTTTCCTGCAAATTACGAACCATCTCTACTGAGTGCACTGTTCCGACGTAACATCCGTCGAGCCATTCATATTCCTCCAATTTGGCATTATATTCCATGCCTGCCCATTCTTTCCCCATTCCCCTTTCTTTCCAAACTCTCCTGGTTGCCGGGCACCAGCAACCCTGTTTGCTATTTCTTCTGAATTTCTCCTGCTCATCTTGCCTTGTGCAGTTTTTATCTTCAATGTCTACTCCTCGGTGACTACTTCTGCCAGCCCCACTCTATTTGTTCTGTTCCTCTTCAGTATTGTTTCCTTGTGTTCCTTTCACGACCTCCGCGAAGCTTCTGTTTTGAGTTACTGTCATCGCTCCTCTAAAGCTTTTTTTCACACCTCCTTCCTTCTGCTGCTCATCATACCTTGGTCTATTCACCCATAGCTTCCATCCTCCTACCCAAATCTGATCCAGCTTACTTTCCAATTCCTTCTTATCTTTCACACCCAGAAATCTCACGAAGCCGAATCTGCTCCCATTCTTGCTTTTTCTGTTTGATGCATAGATGTCATAGACCCTACCATACCTGAGAAACGTTCTCCACATCTCATCATAGCTCCAATCATCCGGATAATTTGTGAAGAAATATGAAGTAGCTTGTTTATAAAGACCCCAATTGTATGGCCCGTCCTTCTGCATTTTCCGACCATGGTTCTGATTAAACTGCATTTTCCCCACTGCCACCTGACCCCTGTTCCTCTGGTAGTTGCTGTGGCAAGATCCATCTTGCTCCCAGTTCAGTGCCGGCTGTCTTACGCGTGAACGATGTCCGCCGAGATCCCAACTCACTCTTTCGCTAACTCTCTCTCTCATCTCTCCTCTCAAAACCATAACGAAGTTCCGCCGTTGAATTTTTGGACAGCCTTGTTCAAATATTGCAAACAAATCCGTCTTTTGTCTGCATTTTTAATAACCATTAGTTAAACTGTAAAAGAAAGGTTTATTGATTTTGGTTACATTTTTAAGAGTAATTGTTCAGGTCGGTTCGATTTTAACCAAAATAATTATTTATATATTTTTTAGTGATTTTTTGAATTTCTTAATTATTAATTTATTAATTTCAATTACAAAATTTAAAAGTTATCCAAATAAATAAATAATTTGGTAAAAAAAATGACTAAAAAACCTTTAAAAAATCTAGAAACCATTAAAAAATTTATATAAAAGGTTTTAGTTCAAATGTTTTCATTATACTCTGTTAATCATTGATATTTTAGTTTTTAAACTAACTGAAATCCAAACTGTTTAAAAATTAGTTTGGTTTGATTTTTAATCAAGCAAACCCAAAACCTAGTCAAACCGTACCTGTTAGTTATGGTTTCATCGATTTTTAAAGTTTTTCCGATTGCTGATTTTTTGGCCCATCCTTAGTGATTGAGATTTTTTTCACATTTATTAAAAATAATTATTTTTTTATTTAAAAAGTCATGATAAATATCAATTATTGAAAGTAAAGAGATGAAAATAATCAAGATTTTGTATAAGTGAAGTGTATAAGACTTATGTGTAAATAAATCTCTCTTCATATAAATATATATAGGGAAAAATGTATATAAGTCAAACTCCTAAAAAAAATGAAATAAAAACCACCTTCTAATAAATATTTTTAAAAATCAACTATTAAAATTTTAATTTGACCTAACATTTATAATCATTTAATCAAAAACCTTATATTTTCTAATATTTAACAGTGATAAATTTTTTATAGTAAAAAAATTAATTATATACATTCAATCAATATAAAATTTGATACATATGATTTATATGAATAAAATATTAAATCTAATTTAAGAATATTCATTAAAGGGTGATGTTTTTTAAGTTAGAATTATAATTGCTTTTAGAAATCAAAATTAATATACACTATTTTTATGCTTGTATCTATATATATTTTGTGTGTGTCTGAATATGAGCATAGTGCATACGTATAAACCAAGTAGCAAAATAACAGCTCTCATCTCCCAAAATCTATCATCCTGGTTCCAAAGACAAACTACTGCACACAAAAGCTGTCCAAAGACATGAGATCTCGAATGGGCTTTAGCCCAAATCAAAATTTCTGATTTTAATTGGGCATCAAGATCCAACTTGACAAAGATGCATTTTTTTTAATTAATAGAATCAAGGACAAAAAGCCTTCTTGGGTGGGATTAATTACATATGAAAAAATT